CCCGCAGGCGGGCATGAGAAGTGCGTAAAAGCACCTGCTGCGTTTCGAGCGTGTCACCGCATGCGTTCCACGCGCACTGCAGAATTACTTATATATATGAACGGTTACGCTCTGTTAATACTGATGATAGTCGTTTCCGGTAAAGAATCGATACTATCGACGATATATTTGCAGGTTGATTCACATGTATAGCTTTCAGTATTGTCACAATTGTTATTTTTCGAACGTAGTATTATCCGGTAGCCTGTACCGGGAGCGTCGCTTAAGTGCGAGTTCCGAAACACGTGCGTTTCCCGTTGGCAGGTCCATCGATAATCGCGTGTCGCTCGGAAGGAGATCGATCATATTACCCTCTGGGGCCCCGTCCGCTTCGGGCCTTTTTGCGTGATCGCCGATGGCGAAAGACCGGCGAATCCGGATTTTCAACGGGACGCGCGAGATAACCGTGGCTCGCCTCCTTTTTCGACGCGGCGGCGGCGGCGGCGGTGTGTTGCGTCCTCGCTCGCGTGTGTAGGTGCCCCTCTCTCGCTCTCACATGTAAAAGAGCTGCGTCGCTTCTGCCGCGTGTCGGACGCACGTGATGTCACATAGAAAGAGAGAGTCGTTACCGTTACGCAATGCCGGCCACACCGCGCCGCACCGGGACGCGCGGCGTATGCGTGTGCGTGTACGTGCGCGAGAAAGTTGCGTGGCCCGGCCAAACGCTGACCTTACGTACTGCTTCGCGAACACGCGCGCGCACATGTGCGTATGCGTACACGCGGAGGGAAGCGTTATACACTTACGTGCGAACTGTCCGCTATAAACTCGTTTCGTTACTATTCGACGTGGCCTTTAAAAAATTTTATCGACGTGAGGAGAGTAATTGGTAAATTTTGAATTTTTGATCGCTACTGATTGCAGTAATATTTTATAGCCTTAGCTTAGAATACTATTAACTATCGAGCATGTATATCTGGAAAAATTTTCGATGCTATATTTTCAATATTAATAACAAATGGAAATATAATATGTATAATATCTATAATACTTTAAAGAATGTTGCAAAATTACATTTTGTGATTACAGAGTAGTAATAATCGTAAACGATATATATATTATAAAAAAAATTGTTATATGTGTATAGATATGTATAAACAAAAGAACGATTTGCTAAAAGATCTAAAAATTATGCTACATAAGTACAGATTTGAAAATAATTTTGTTGGAAATTTAAAAATAATGAACATTGATGTAAAACGTTTTGATATTCTAGCAATTTCAATTTCCAATAAAATTATTTTAATGATCCAACAAAGTTCCCTCACAGATCTGTATCCAGCAAAATTTTTAGACTTTTCAGCAAAATCGTTCTTTCCGTGTAGATAATTAATTTTAAGTTTTAATTTTATTTTTTACTAATATGATGTTTATAAACGACAAACAGTTATAACAATTATTATAATCGTGTGTTAGATTTTTTTCGAAGGACACTTTCTTCCTTTGCCTCGATAATTTCATGCTTAATTTCGATGATTTCGTTACGGCGATTAAAGTTGCACGCGCGGTGCATATAATTTAACGATCAGATCAGAATGATACGTCGCGGGCGAGCGAAACGAGTCTCGGCCTTTTAGAAACTATGAAAACCAGGACGTGGTAATGGTGATTACGGTGAAACCTTGCCGACATGTCGATACACCGGAAGTCGGCTTCTGGCTACGGGAGAAACGGGCAGGAAGCGCCGCGCAGAAGGTGAAAACGCTGTGAAAACTCGAACCGGCGGCAGCGGCGGCAACTCGAAACTGTCGAAGCGCGCGCGGTCGATGCGACTAGACGATCCGTTCTGCCTTCGCGGCACTCGAGGGCGAGTCAAGGCTAGGCAAGGTCGCCATCGCCCTTGCGAGTTTCCGGTGGGCGAGCGAGATTTATCTCCCGCTCACGATTGCGCGCCGGGAGCGTCGTAAACACTTCGATTTATCTCGGTCTGTCCGTCGAGATGCCGAGGATCAAAGAAATGGAGCGGTACTTTGATCACAATATCCGCCAACGAAATTGATATTCGTGATTTTTTCGAAATGGCGCGACGATTGAAACTATATAAGTGTTGAAGAGAAAGAGAAATACTGACTAGTTTCGACATTGCGAATATGTTTGACAGGCGAGTGTTCTCGATCTATTTCGACCGCGTCTATCCCTTCTTTCTTATTTTCCTGGAATAGACGGGCGGTGGAGTAACGGAGATACACGATCGTTAAATCTCAGGAGTCGATTAAATCTTCATGGTGGATTACGCGCGTGATAAAAATGCGAAACGGCACACCTGGGCCTTGCGCGCATGGGTCTCTGCGAAGGCGTAGCGCGGGAGTAGCGACGGCGGCGGTTCTAAAACAATGTCGTTTTACTTCCGGGAGCCTTGAAGTGTTTGGTAGACGTGCATCCTACTTCCTCGCGGATCTCTAAAAATAAATATTACGAGTACGCGCTTTGATTGAAAAGTATGCGACTCGTGTTTAGATAATCAATCTTCGCAATAGTTCTTTATTGAGGAAAAGAAAGATTTGTGAGCGGATTGTGACGTAATTTAGTGAGTATACAAACGATAAGTTTGTAAATATACAAGGGATATATACATAGTTCCTGATTAATTAGATGTCTCACAGCGCTCTCTGTCACACGGCGCTAAATTTAATCGTGAATTTTTCAATCGTGTAATTACCGAGTCGATTCACGAATCGACGTCCCGCGGTGACGTCAATAAAATCGATTCGCGCCGCAGTCCGCGTTCGTATGCCCCTAATTTTCACGCGTGTATAAGCGCGCCGCGTGCGCCTTTCAATGCGACAATTAAATTTTTGTCTTATCTGACAGTTCCGTCTTATCTAAAATTACAGTAAATCGACGGACGTAACACGCAACGTTTAAGCGATAAGATTAATAGTCATGATTTTTTAATTACTACACGATTATTCATCAATTTGTTTAATCATTGCACGAAACGGTTACTTCTTTTTTCTATTCCAAATACGACAGTTGGAAGAATGTCTACGCGAGGATGTGTTGCATTCTTTGTTTCCGCGGCCGGCAACGCATCCGTGGTTATTACGGTGTTGCGGCTCTTATGAAGCCGCGGAGATACGCAATTTCTATAGCGGAGGCGAAAATTATTCATGGAAATGCCGGCCTGTAATCAACTGTACCTGCCGCGGCGCATTAACCGTCGGCTTTTACACGATTTTGTTGATCTCCAAGCGATCTCTCCGATTCACGCAATTATATCATTACGGGGATCTATTCTGCGACGAATATTTTCAGAAGCTGTGGGAATTTTTGGCCTCGCAAAAACTTGATTCGCGAGCAACCTGTTACCTGCTCTTATCGTTATACAAACAGTAATAAAAATGAAAAGTTACAATAGATTGCAGAATTATATATTAGAGGACACTAATAAAATTTGCGAGGATTGATAAAGATAAAATACAGATAAGTGTTACAGGTTCAAATAATCAGCAAAGTAAAAAATATAAAAAGACGAGCCGAACTGGATGTAACGTGCTTACATAAAACTTTAAATAACAGTCGTAACAGGATTGAAACTTACACTTTTAATCACAACAGTTGTAGAAACGATCTCGAATTCGATGCTTCCCATAAGTATTGGTTAAACAAAACAGGTTTACTTGGTCAAGTTTCTGTGAACATCGAATATCTCAGTAATATTTCTTCATCGTAACTCCTCGAAACGAGACATCAACGAGAAAGCTATAAAGTTGCCCAATTTTCTCGTCAATCTTCCGCAAGCGCGATGAGACGAAGGCTCTCCTCGCGAAATCGAGAGATTTCGAAGGAGGGATTCAAATCGCGTCTCGCGATTTTCACCCGCGTCTTTCTTGTCAATCGCCATTTTCCACGGCGGACTTTTCGGGCCCGCTGCCGCGAGAAATTGCTTAATGAAGCCGCCGTGGCTTGGCACCGCCTGAAAGGAAGGTAGAAACGTTGCAGTGGGTCAAGGAGAGACGCCGGCTTTCACTTCCTCTCGGCAGCCAGCGCGAGTTCCTCGAGAACGCCTCCCGAGAGTCGCGGCTTTTTTTTCTCCCCTTCTCCCGTCGTTCCTCTCCCCGTGAGAATGTTTATCCGCCTATGACTACGCTTAATTATATACCGACGAGAAGATATGTTTATCTTCTCTTTGACGGACAAACTGGATCCAGCCAATTAATCCGGTTCGAGCGACGCGCGGTGCAATACGAAATCATGACGAGCGACTTATCTCGGCTAAGTCATTTTTCATTAATGCGAAATCGGTGCTTAATCCACTCTGTAACAGAGTCTGCGCAATTTGCGCTTGCACGATCGTTCTGTTGTGGCACAGCGAATAAAAATTACACTTGTACTTTAAATTTCTGAAATAACAATTATTTCAGCTTTATTTATTTCAGTTATTTATTTCAGCTTTATTTTTAATATCTATGAAATATTATTTGTTGAAATTCCATGAGTAATATTTGCTGACATTCCATTATACGATGTCAAATAAAATTATCTTTCGAAAATTCCAGATTCATACAATGTAAACACGATTCTATATTTTATAGATAGAATAAACTTATAGGAAAAACGAATAGGAAAATCGAAAACGTAAAGGGGCAAAAGTTTTGTGAATAAATTCATTTGCAATTTCAGAGAAAAAAAAATTCAAGAAACATTTTCAACTTTGAAATATTGTACATATGCTAAATAGACTTTTTTCATTAAAATCGCAGAAAGACAATCAGTTCGTTTCATCAGTCATGACAATCAGTTATTTCCTTATACTTATTGCGTGACGTGAAGTAATAGAAAAAAAATTGATTTGACATTTACTCTCATTTATCCTGTTACAATCTTCGATACATACATTTCATATATTGTATTCGCTCGCAATAATATTTGCTTAGTGCATTCGCGTAGTGTAAAGCTAAACAATAAGCAAGATTAATATCTATTTGTCTAAACGCGATATCTCGTTATCTATGTTACAGTGGACACCAGGGAAGTTCAGCCACACGACCCGAGCGAGAAGGAACAGCTAGGCCTCGCGAGCGTAAAAGTGGAGCCGGGGTCCACCAGCGCGACGACAACCAGTAGCACGGGAACCCGTCTGCTCCACGGCATCCTCTCCCAGCATCCCCAGCAGCATGGCCTGGGGCTGCAAAACGGATACAGCCGACACTTGGCCGGTCACCCACAGATGGGCCAACCGCCTTACACCACTGCCGCTATCGCTACGACGAGTACGCCAGGTGAGGGCCTCGTAAAGGCACACGGCCTTATTAAAATGCTGATGACACTCGATTGTCAAGGGTCATAGTCTACTCGTACAATCGTTTTCGGCGGATAGAGATTAGTCGGCGTTACAGCGACATTTAAAAATCTCGATAGATTTTTAAAGAGTTTTGCAATATGATATTTTAGAATAGCGTATATGATGAAATAAACGACAGGATTGGAAAGTAAATTGAGAGGATTTGAAAACGGATTTGATACAATTTTTAGTGGAATTTAATATCCGTATGCGTAACGGAGAAAGAATGGGAGCCAAATATAAATAAAATAGAAGGAAAAATAGTCTCGATGCCAATAGAAATTTGATGTATATAATACACATATGTATAATGGTAAAATAATGTTAATAAAAAAAATTTTAGAAAAATACAATATTAAAATAAAGGATTAAAATGTGATAAAACGAAAGAAAGAAAAAGGTAAAATAAGTGTAACGTAGAAAAGTTTAAAAAGTTCCTTGACATTTTTCCATTGTTTAGAATTTAATCGCAATATCGATATTTTTTTCTTAAACTAGGGTGAATTATTTAAGGAAATCATCTTATAATTACGAGAAGGACATACGTCAAAATCAAAATCATTATATTTATATTTTCTTTATCTGACTCCAGTGATTCGCGCGATTGTTTGTAGAGCTTTATAGATTTTATCTTGAAATACATAATGGGTCTAAAAATACATAGTTATAGTGTGAGGTAAATCAAGATACCACTAGCAACGAAATTGACATTTTGTGGATTGACATTTGCCGGGTAAAATAAGACGTCAATTTCCGTTAATTGGATCGCGGATAGCTCTTATACATTGTTCGTTACCGTAGTGACAACTGCAGTTTGATCACTTGGATGTTTCATCGAGTAATTGCAGTCGCGGTGTACTGCTACTGCTAATTGAACAATAATCAAACGCGACAGCAGGTTAAGAGAAGAGAAAGGCGAAAAAAAGGGAGAAAAAAAATAATTCTTATAGCCTGATTTCTCGAGAATGATCGTAATACGGCGCGCGCAGAAGAGTCGCGTAATAGCGACGTAAGCCAAAATTTCCGCGTTCGTAATCCGTGAGCTGCAATTAGTGGATCAATGTCGATTTCACAAAGATGCGTTGCGCAACGGTAAAAATCGCGCGCCGGTAACGGGCCGGCCAGTTGCATATTCGGCAGGAATTCGGGCGTAAGACGGTTCTTAAAATATACGACTCGATCGTTGCATAAAGAGCAGCGCGCGCCGCGCCGGTCGATCGGCGAGATTTGCGGCTATCAGCTTGCGCCAGTCTTGCACGATCGTCTTGCGTAACACGACGACGAGGACGACGACGAGGATGATGATGATGACGATGAAGATGACGATAAAAAGAGAGAGAAAGAGAGAGGACGGGAGAGAAAGAGAGCAATGACTCGTGCAGAACCCTTTGGGACTCCGTTTGAGACGGTTAACCGCGTCGCGAGGGAGAAAGAGAGAAAGAGAGAGAGAGAGAGAGAGAGAGAGAAAGCGAGAAAGAAGGGGAAGAGGGGAGAGGTACCGTGGGAAGAGCGAGCGATATGCATACCCAATGACCGGATGACCTTCGCTCGTTGCATAAAGATGCCTTTAATTGACGGCGCGCGCGAAAACACGTTCGGCATGGCATGGCATGGCTCGGCGACGCTCGATAAAGCCCCGAGAACGAGCGGGAGAAGCGAGAGAGCGAGCCGCTGCTGGACCACCTCGATGGGACACCTAATTTGTTTAAAGCGGCAGAGAGACGCGAGCGACGTGTACGTGGCTTTAATTTAGGGCCTGGCAAAGAGCCGAACCGGTCGATCGCTAATTTATCGCATCCGCGGTAATATGTAGCGGAAGGCGAAACGGCGATTCGATAATTGCGACGTATATACTTGGTATAAAGTATTCATTGGATGTTTAAAGCGACACGCTCGTCGCGCTTCAGCTATGCATATAGGTACGCCGGTGACGTCAGAAGCGAGGAATGGTATCGAAATTTCCGTAACAAACCATGCTCTTGTAAAAGAGATTGCTTTTCGAAAGAGATTAAAAATATGACTTGAAACTTGAAAGAATATATAAGGAAATGGATATTTTAATATTGAATTTAATAACGAATAATATACAAGACGTAACGAAATACCGAGTGGCTTAAAATATCGGTTTAAAGAGCATCGCAAAAATGAAATTAACTATCATTATAATTATATATAATTTTATTTGTAATTTTACTTTTTTAACAAAAATAGATAACGAAAAAAATATTGTTTATGCGAAGAAAGCGATATAGTTTTATAAGAATGGCTATGAGTGGCAAAAGTACAAGTTTTGCGGCTGTTTATTTAAATATAATTTTTATTTATTTAGGAATAGAATATATGAAAAAGTGACATCCGCTCACACTGCGAACGTAACTGTCTTGTAACTTTACTCAAAGCTATTCGCCTTGGCGCACGGCGCCTTTTTCGACGAAATAATAATTTTCACAGAGTCTGACGCAATTTCTTTTTCCCTTACAATCCTCTCGAGTGTCTTCTATTTTATTTATCGCGCGGCCGTTCCGCGTGAAACGGAATCGCGCGAGATTAATTGACGATGTCGCGTCTTATCGCCCCGGCCGTAAACTCCGCCGAGCTATTTATCACAGAGGACGCGTCTCCTCGCTTTGTTTCATGGCATGGAAGCAGGAAGCGGATCACTGCCAGCGAGCCCAGCGGACAGCGGAGTCAGCGACGTCGAGTCCAGCACGTCCTCCGGCGGCAACGAGGACGCGAATCTCTTACTGAAAGCCAGGCTCAATCCTAATTCGTCCCTCCAGCCGAGTCTGGCGTCTCATCACTCCCATCTGTCGTCGGGTGAGCTCGATCTTTATTTTACGCACAATCATTGATCGCACGTTTAACATGTATGTTAAAGAAATGTAAGCAAAATCTTACATGTCAAACAAAAAAAATATATATATCTTTCATAATAAATATAAAATTTTTGCGAGAGATTCTTTATTATCTTGTCTGCTTTTGCCAAAAAGTTTGAGAAATTCGTAGTAAGAATCGCTCTTAAGAAATTCATCAATCTGGTAATTAGAGATTAACCTAATTCTTGCAAATCAATTTTGTTGACTGAGCAATTATCCTTCGAAGAGATTCAGATTAGTAATAAACGACATCAAATTTATATGATACTTAAATTTATAATATTATACAAGTCTTTCCAACGTCATATAAATCGTGATTGTTCTCGGAGATTTTTTATGTGACGGAGACAGCTCGTTTTAGATTGTAATTACGAAAAATTTCGAATTTTTAAGCGATATACAATTTATCTACCTATACGAAAAGCTTTAAACGTAATTTTGAATTAGAGATGCTGAATAATTTAGATTACTTTTATCAAAATAATTTCGCACGATGGAAAGCGGTTGTTCTAGAAGTTAAGAATGATGGATTGGTATTTGATCGAATTTAAAATTACATAAACTTGAAAGTTCCGACGAAAGAAAGGAACTTGAGAGTTCTAAGATGTTTTCGTTATTGAGCGTCTCTATTGATTGCCTCGATAGCAGCACTCGGCAGATCGGCCTGCCACAGCCCCGGTGTGTACCCGGGGTCGACGGCAAGCTTCCTGTCGCCCACCTATCATCCTCATCAGCATCATCCCTCCCAGTATCATCCACATCGGGGGAGTTCGCCGCACCATCAACACAGCAACCATACCATGGGTCCGACGATGGGGCCGCCCCACCACCATCATCATCATCAAGCGCAGGGTCTCCAGCATCACTTGCATTACCGTCAGCCATCCTCACGTAAGTTTCTCAAACTCTAATTTATTACAACGACGTAATTGGCGGAATTAGCGAGCACCGCTGGGAGGCTCTTTCCTCCCCCCCCC